ACCATTGTTTCCCTTACCCATTAGAACATCAATAGAAATTCCCTGTTCCCCTTACCATTGTTTCCCTTACCCACTAGAACATCAATAGAAATTCCCTGTTACCCCTGTCTCTTATACACATCTAGATGTGTATAAGAGACAGTCATCAATCTACCCAAACCCTACCTACCATGCTACCACCCATTCAATCGTAGATAGGATCGCTCCGTCCTCGATTTACATCAAAACTCATTCATTCCTTTATTAATTATTACTATTATTATTATTTCTAGAATTCATTCTAAAATTTTTGAAAACTTGAAAATACTTCATCAACTATGTATCTCGGCATTTCTTTCCCAAAAATATTTTCTTTTTCGAAATTTTCAAAAATACGTAGGATTAAGCAGTCTTTCTCGATATCTCTTCTTTGAAATTCGAAAATAATTTTAATTCACTCTCTTTTTTTCAAAATTTTTGTAATTCAAAATATTTTAGAATTAATTAAATTCCTTTTTCGACATTTCTTTTCCGAAATTTTTAATTATTTTTTAAATTTTTAAAATTACATTTTCCTTCCTTGAACTTCAAAAATAATTTTCATTAACTGTTTTTCGGAATTTTTTTTTTTAACATTTTCCTTCCTCGAACTTCAAAAATAATTTTCATTAACTGTTTTTTGGATTTTTTTTTAAGTAAGTTCTTTTCGTTCGAATCTGCGTAGCATGGCGACCATGTTCGCGCCCCTTCACGTTCGCGTCAACGTGTTTGCACGTTCGTGCGAACAGCTCGCGAACATGTTCGGACGAAAGTATTTTTTCGGTTTTTTATTTTTAACTCATGATTGGCTACGAATTTGAACATGACTCGAAGGCAAAAGTTGCTTGTATTAATATGTTACATAACATATATTTTTTTCAGATTTTTTCGAAAACCTTTTTTTTTTTTTCACGTCCGGAGGGTTTTGGGCGCTTGTTTGCGTTCGAGCGAACATGTTCGAGCTCGCCTCCGAACGAGAACACGGTGCTACGCAGGTTCGAAGTAATGAATTCTTTCTCAACATTGCTTTTCTTATCTTCTCTTTCCCGAGACTACTTTTAATACTTTTGGAAATACATTAGAAATTAGAATTAATTTTCAATATTTCCTTTTCGAAACTCGAAAATACTTTTAATTAATTAGATTTCCTCATATATTTCAATTCCTAAAATTCCTTTTGTAATTTTTCTTGAAATTTGAAAAATTCTTTTTCGCAATTTTTTTTCGAAATTCTCTTTTTATTCAGAACCCGAACGTAAATCCGAATAAATTTTGTCATAATTTTTTTTTTCACGAAATTTAATTTCTTTTTTCATTTGGGAATTCCTGAAAATTTCGCTTTCGTATTGATTGAAAAATACACTCTCAAATTAATTTCGAATAAATTCAAATTAATTCTTGCTCTGCGATTTTCTGTTACCTTCATTGCTAAATCACATGATGACACTCTATTCTTGTAAATAAGAATTGTCCCCCCCATCTCCACATGCCACCACGCCAAACCAAGACCTCCCAACGCGCCGCCGCCGACGTCGCTGCCGCTGCCGCCACCACCGCTGCCACTATCACATTCGCTGCTACCGCCTCCACTTCCGCTCTGGCCACGTCATCCACCCCCTCTTCCCCCACCATGGCCCTATCTTCCATCCACATGCCTGATCTTCGTTCCGACTCCGTGAACAGCATTTCCCTCTAGCTCACAGGCGATCAACCAACTTCGACCACCACCACCCCGAAACTCGCAACTATCCTCCAAACGTTGACCGCCCTCAAATCCTCCCTCGCCACCACCAACACCACCATGGCCGCCATCTCCGATCGTGTCACCACGCTCGAGGGAAACTCCCCCGCCATCACGGTCATCACCACAACCACACCCCCCTCCTCCACACGCCAACCCACCCCCTCCATCCAGGTGGTCACCACCAACATCCCCACGTCCACAGCTGCCTCCAGCCACACCCCCCCGCTGACCTCCTCCACTCCTACTACCTCTACCACCGCATCCACCACCTCTGCCTCCTCCACCCTTCCCCCCCCCTCATTCGGCGCTTCCAGCACACCGCCTCATTCCTCGCCTAACCACGTCNTCCCCCCCCCTCATCCGGCGCTTCCACCACACCGCCTCATTCCTCGCCTAACCACGTCACCCCTCTTCCCCCCCCGCACTCCCATACTATCTCACAACCCATCATGATGACCTCCACCATCCCCACCCCCCGTCCCACCTATTCCCAAGTCACCTCCGGGGTTTACCCCGCAATGCCACAACTTCCCCCCAACTACCTCCTTGACGACAACAGCCAATTCGATTACACCTGCTACGACACTACCCCCGATAACCTCAACTTCAACACCCTCGCCCGGATCGTTTCCAGCGAAGGGGAAATCCCCCGTTCCTTCCGATCCGGCGACATCATGCCCTTCTCCGACCTTCCCCACGAGGACGTTTTCCTCTTCCTTACCCAGCTCCAAAACTCTTTCAAGCTCCACCACATGCCCCTTGTCCACTGGCTTCCCATTGCCACCTCCCGCCTCCTCGACAATGTCGCCAAATGGTGGATGGCCGAAGTCAGCAACCACCGCGCCTCCGGAGGACCGCATCACTCCTTCCTCCAATGGGCCAACCTTCTCACTGCCACCTTCCGCCCCAGAAAACCATCGATGACTACCTCTAACAATTTTGTCACCTCCGCCACCGGTCCCACGAACCGCTTTGTCCAATACATCCGCTCCCTCCGCCGTCACCTCCCCACCACCGTCATTCCCGACTTTGCGTTCATCTCCCGCATCAAGCGATATGCCACTTGCAACCACCCTTGCCCACGAACCTGACATGCCCCTTGCTGACCTCCTCTCTCGCATGCTTCACCACGATCGACTCCTCCACCCCCATCAGCAGTCCGCGCCCGCTTCCTCCCGCCTCCGCTTCTTCCATAACATCACCGCTGACAAAACCACTCCACCCACCTCCGATGACGACTTCGACACTGTCTCTCTCGACCCCTCCCAATTCACCATTGAGGACCTCCAAGCCGCCCACCTTATGCGGATGGAACGCCAAGATAGTGCCTCCTGACCTCCTTCTTCCTCTCCATCCGGCCGTCTCCAAAAACTTACACCCGCAGAACGCATATACCTCCAGGAACACAACGGGTGTTTTCGCTGCCGCCAGTTAGGTCACCAACAGACCAACTGCCCCAACGCTAGCTTTACTCGACAGGCCCCTCGCTCCGCGGAACCTGACCCTTCTACTCGGACTTCTTCCTCCACCGCGAAAATCGGGCCCTCCTCCACCAAAGTAGGGGACAAAGTCTGGCTCTCCGCCAAACGCTTTGAACCCGAACATGGATTGTCAAAAAAACTCTCAAACAAATGGCTCGGACCCTTCCCCATCATTGAAAAAACCTCCAACGTCAACTACAAACTCCAACTCCGCCCCAACATGAGCCGCGTCCACCCGGTCTTCCACGTCGAATACTTGAAAGAATATCATGAATCCCCACCCCAATTCGTTGACCGCCCATATCCTAGACCTCCACCTATCATGTTACCCACAGTCCCTGAATTTGTTGTTGAAGCAATCATCGGTCGACGAACTACTCAGGTATCTGACCACCCGGGACCAATCACTGAATACGAAGTCAAATGAACCGGATACTCGGACGAAGAATCTACATTGGAACCTCTCTCGAATCTCAAGAATGCCATGAAACTTGTCTGCGCCTATGATCGTGCTACTCCTATGTCCTAGACACCCACGTAATTACAACCCTAAACCCTTGTATAAACCTTGCTACGACCTCGCAACCCCGCTCTACACACACCCTTGAACCCAGTCCACCCTCCCCTCGACCCTTATTCCTGATGTCTGATCTGCCCTTGCCCTCCCCTAGCCTTGTCCCATCAGTCCACTCCACTACCTTGTCTCTCTTGTCCAATGCTTATGAACTGGAGCAACAACTTGTGACATGGATCTTTGCATCAGTCTGCGACTTCCTTGCTTCCAAATCAGGCCTCATCGCAGTACTTGTATCAGATTCACCCTAGCACTTGGACTTTGGACATTTGAACTATTGTTACGTTGTCGAGCGCATCGGTCCTGCACCGCACAAACGGGGCGGGACCCTCCCGGCCTCGTCACGCAAGAGTTGGTTTGATCCTCATCGCGAATACACATGGAGCTTCCGCAAGCCACTCTGGCCGAGTGCACCAGCCATACCTCTCGTGAGCCCCTACGACAGGATAGGGCCTACGTGAGGCACGACTTACCTCCACCTTACGGGAGCTCTCACCTCCCTTCGGTGGGCGTATCCCCGCCGAGCTACCAGTCCACAGTACGAAAGCTCATTTGCTGCAATCGCAGAGGTGGACCAACCGAGGGCGTTTCTCGTTCGTTGTAGCATAGCGGGTACGCGTGGTCTTAGGCCTCTATCGGACCCGCACGCGACCTGACGCCTTGGGGGTCTGAGGTCCCAAGCGCAACTCGTCGTCTGTCGACGAGGACGTATCCCACTCACCACGCGTACACCACTCTAAGAACATAAAAATAAAACACCCACACACACACATACACAAAACGACACAGAACAAACAACGCGACAACACTCCTAGTGCCTTAGTAGCCATCCCATAACTCTCCGAAGCGGGAATCGGATAGGCATCGCGCGCAAGACTTAGTATAAAACCGCGTGGACGCAGGGTCTTCTCATATCGACTAGCAATGCATGAATAGGCAAGCAGTCGCAATGATGGCGTACTATGTAGCGCCCATAATCATGCGGTCCCTCGTAGTTTCGAGGATTGCATTCGACACTAAAGTGTCGACTGACAGCGCCTTGAGGGGTTGATCTCCCTACGTTAGACAACCGCCAAGTGCGGTTGAAAACCACACCCTCTTCTGCACCCTGCAGAGAGTGGGTGGTACACAGGTTCATACTTGTGGTAGCAATCGTCTCTTATTGCCCTGGAGACCAACTCCATCATCTAGGGCCTGGAGATAAATCAAGGGGTTTGACTTTGACGGTTGCCACGGACTACAACGTCCAACTATAAAAACTCTAAAAAGCAAAGGATAACTGAGGATCTCCCTTTCCTCTCAAAAAGATAATCTATTTAACCCTTACGCGCGGTCACAGTAGGTTGCGTGAACACTCAAAGCATGTGTATTTATATATATATAAAGGGTTATAAATATGTGACGATCACTTCTCACAGTCACAGTGGGACTCCTCTCAGCCAAATATATTGTCACAAAACTATTGACTAAGAGAGTAAGCACGCGAAGTAGAAGAAGAAATAAGATGAGCGAAGAAAATGAAAATGAAAGGACAGACAGGCAAAGAGACAGACAAACCAGAATGACACAAAACAGCGTCCTCTTATTCTTTGTTTCACAGTATTATTATTTCTTTCACTGTTTTACAAAAAAAAATTACACTGAATCAAAGGATAAAAATAAAAAACAAAGACACATTGAAATTATTCAGTTTCTCAGTCTTCTTAACGCCTCCTCCACTATGCCTCTAACGTACAAGGCTCGCCACGTTGATGAAGTTGAGCGCGAGCTGCCCCCATCCCCGTATGCCATAACAGCCCACTTGCACGCTATGGGAAAGAGGCAGAGTGACGGAAGAGGTGTTAAACACAAGGAAGAGAGGAGCAAAAAAGGAAAACCGATACGCAGAGGGTGACCCAAACATCTTCTTTCTTTCACTGCATTCTTCTTTCTTTCACAGTTTTGCAGTTTTGGTAAAGAGTCTACCACGTTCGCTTTTTAGCACACCTGCACTTCCTTCTTCATTTTTCATCTTCATTTTCACCGTTCGGACTTTTCTTTTTAGGGTGTTAGGGTGTTAGGGTGTTAGGGTGCAGGGTACAAACAAAGTAAGATGACACAAACTTATGTTCTTCTTTTACTGCATTCTTCACAGTTTTGCAGTTTTAGTGAAGGGTTCCCCACCTTTGCACATTCTTGTAGACTTTTTTCAGCGCACCTGCACATTTTTGCCAGGGTGCAAGGTACGTCTATGTAAGACCCTCACGACAGATAGGACAACTGTCATTAGGATGCGGGCGATGGTAGCAGCCCTCCCGCTGATCTACACGACGAAAACCATTCAGGTAAGCAACTTCATCACAGCAGGAGTCAGGGCGGCTAGCATTAACCATACCTCTGAAGCATGCATGATAGAGGGCATGCCGGTTGCAGGCCATGACGATTGTGGGCGTTCACCATCACAGTTAAGTGCACATTCACTATAGCACCCGCAGGCACAGATGGGACATACAACATCTGGATGTAGAGGATGTTCACAATCCGGATACAGGTGGCATCCCTGCCGACAGCGGGCCCGAAAAATTATACGGTTGTAGTGATGTCAACAAAGTTGATGCTTTCCACAACCAAGTTTAACTATGTCAATGATCTCACAAAGAAGGAGGTCACAAGGTGTTAGTGCAACATGTGGGGGAATGAAGACTGAAGCAGGCACGGTGACAGATATGGAGGTAGGCACGGAGACGGACACAGAAACGGGCATGGAGACAGGTGTGGAGGCAGGTACAGAGGCAGGTGCAGAGGCGGGGACGGAAGTACACGTGGTACCCATAGAGTCAGTAATCTGGAAGGAGACAGACACAGAAACAGGCACAGAGACAGGTACAGAGGCAGGCACAGAGATAGGCGTAGAGGCGGGCATGGAAGTACACGAGGTACCCATAGGGTCAATGACCGGGAACAGTTGCAGGTTAGGGTAATTACGCACGAGATCACAGATGGCAGTAATAGTTTGCACTATAGCACCGCCATTCCATAATTCCCAAGAACCAGAGGTACGGACAAGAGCGGTGTAGTGGCCAGGAGCATGTAGAATATAGGCACAAACGTGCGAACAGTGGTCCGGGTCGCCACCCGAAGGGGCACGCTGCATATCGAGTCGGCGCCTTATCAAAGCAATCTCCAAAACAGAGATATTGAATCCCCCATGTCGAGTGTAATTACTATCCTGTGGGGGATGCAGAATCGGGTTATCGCCATACAACTCACGTTCCTGAGCATCAAGATCAGAAGCAATGGCCAAGAAATCAGAGTGAGTATATGGTTCCCGACGATAGGCTTGCAAGCAGATGTTAGTAGCAGCGAGGCCACACAGATTCAGTGGAGGCCAGTCAGGCGGATTTTCTATAGGAGCTCCTACAGTCCCCTTGCCAAGTTCATCCTCAGATAGCCCCTTGCCATCATCCCTCCTGTTTTGTGTTTGCCGCGTTGCAGAAAGATCTGCAGTCGAAGAGCGTTGCAGGCGTGGTAAGGATGCTTGGGGCGGCAAAAGACGAGGACGGGATGTTGGGGAGGGTCGTGGTGGGGAGAATGAACGGGTTCTTCTTCGTCCAAGAACAGAGATGGAGGAAAGGGGAGTAAGCTGAGGTTGGGAAGTAGGTCGAAGTCGGCGTCTAGGACGGCGAAGTAGGCTTTCTACAGGGGCAAAACATGATGACGGAGTCTGTGTGGACGAAGTGGTTTGTGGATTAGGAAAAGGGGTAACGGATGGAGACAAAACCAGGGGAGGTAGGAGTGGTGAAGACAGGGGTGGTACAATTGTCGGAAGGGGGGTAACATACGGTGATAAAACCAGGGGAAATATAGACGGTGAAGACGGGGCGGATGAAATCAGGGGTGGTGAAGTGGCTGAAGCAGAGACAGGGGGGGCAGTCGTAGGTGAGACCCAAAGAGGGGACTCTGCAGGTGATAATGCAGGCATGGTCACGGATGCCATGGAGGAACGCACCGAGACCAAGGGCGACAAAGCAATTGCGGTGGTCACGGATGCCATGGAGGAACACACTGAGACCAAGGGCGACACAATAGCTGCGGTGGCACCGAATGCCATGGAGGAACACACCGAGACCAAGGGCGACACAACAATTGCGGGTCGAGTTGCTCCCGCGGAATCAGTCGTAGAAGCAACCAAGGCCGATGAGGAAGAGGTTGCGAACCGAAAAGGGGCAGCCAGGGTCACAAACGGCATGGAAGGGATTACTAAGACTGATGAGGACGCAGGTGCAGTAGACGCAGGTAATGAAGAAGAGGTTGTGATAGGTGTGACAGGCGCCGATAATGAAGAAGGGATTGTGACAGGCGTAGTCCGAGGACAACGTGTGGATACCCGAGAAAGCGGGTGATGAATAGACCATCGAAGCATGTTGCGGAACCAGCTGGAGAGGCGGGTCACGTGCGCAGGGTACCTGTGTTGACATTGACGAATATAGGAAGTCCATCCTTTCGCAAGCGTTGTTGGAGAGTACCCGCGAAAAAGCATGCGGCGTGTGAGCATAGCTGCTGCAGTTTTGAAATCATACCAGTTGTTGCAGACATACTCAAACCTAGTAAGCTGGCCTGTAAACACTCCCGCCGACTGGTGTGCATGGACGTTAGATGTAGCACTAGGATAACGAATAACAGGAAAATTCCATTCACCTGCTTTGTCAAAGACACTCATACGCAGGGAACCGTCAGGGCGGACTTGGAGGCGTGCACCTAAGAATGTGCAAGAGCCATCAGGCGATGTGGTCTCCTTCCATTCGAGGTCATAGTGTTTTGACGGTGGTGGCAGATGTCCCCATGAGAGATCGATCAAGCGGTATGTGAACGCATACCGTTGAGCTGCTCGAAGATCACACTGTTGGAGGTCATCAACAAATTGAGCCTCATCCCAATACAACGTCAAATTAGTTATCTCCGAACCAGAATATGTATGTGAGCGCAGGCAGTCAAATCCAAAGTCCGAATCACCAAACATACCTGCAATCACATCAAAGATTCAACCAAAAATCCATACACTACACGGGGTCAACTTCAACCATTCTCTGCACTCAGACCCCTCGCTTTAGCCATGCAAGCCTCACTCTTGTGGAACTCCTCAAGATAAAATACTCAGTATTTTTTCTAAATGGCCATTCAAATAAAATCCGGGCGAAAACACAACAAAACAATTCAAACCGTTGAAGTCTTTAGGTTGAGTGGCAAGAGTGGATTGGATTCGAGTCGTAAACCGACGAATCGGCAACCGACCTTTATCAGTGATAACAGAAGATGATCCTTGTGGGATCAAGCTGAATTTAGTCCAAATCTTGAATCAAACGATCAAGAGGACCTGTAACACAAGACAGGTCAATCCTCAAGCTGAGTCTATAAGTCAATGGAGAACAATCTCCATGTCACAATCTCACTCAAGGTTCTCCTACAAACTAAGTCTAAGACTACCTCTAAGCCAGGGCCCACAAAAAGGGCAGACGCTGGGCGGAATCTCCTCAATACAGAGTGGATTGCCAGAATCGCCACCTGTCAAAATATAATCTAACTCCTTTAAAGTAAGAAAATTTCGGCAGCGCATCTTCAAAATCTATAATAACTCAAATATGAAAACAAAAACAATCTCTAATTTTGGAAAGTCAAATTTTATCTAACTCCCTGAATTAGTAAAAATTTGGGTTGCACTCCTTGTAGAAAAGAAGACTTTCCAGATTTTTACTAAGTCAGATATGAACCCAGAGCAAAACTTAAGTTCAACTAAGACATGATTTAACAAACTCCTTAGATTTGTAAAAATTTTGACAGCACTCCCTTCAGAAAAGTGTTAATCCAAGATTTATATAAAGCTAAGTTCAGAATTTCGAGTCACTTTGACTTCTCAAGATCCAACTTTGTCTAACTCTCTGAATTAGCAAAATTTTGGGCAACACTCCTTTTAGAAAAGGAGACTTTCCATATTTTTACTAAGCCATATATAAAAGTCGGACAAGTTGAACTTTGAAAAGACAAAATTTGACTAACTCCTTGGTTTTGTAAAAAAATTGGCAGCACTTCCAGTAGAGAAACTGACTTACCAAGATTTATACAAGACCAAATATAATAAATGATCCCAGAAAATGCAGAAATCGACCCGAGTAAAATAAACTTAGCTCAGAAAATGCAGGAATTGAAACTCCTACGACTCTAGCACGTGGCGAGCATCTAAAGCAACTACCTGTCAACTGAAACTCAGACTGAGTAATAATCTCACTACGCCACATGCAAGACCAAGCCACAAAGGTAAGTGCTCTCACCATCCCCGGGTCAACCTTATCAAACAATAGTTCATAGTCTTTCAATGATTTATCCCTTTATACCCAGCTTACATAAGGCATAAAGCTAGACCATCAGCCATTGAATATACACAAACACAAGGCACTACAACTTTTCTCTTATTTGGGCACATGACTAGGCCACCCTAGTCGCCCTGAACCGATCATCTTTAGCTCGAGATTCAGTCTGCCCCTTCGTACCACGACTTTATTCTTAGTTAATATTCTCTTCAGTTTGTGAGAAGCTATAGTCAGACCACCCAAACTTATGGAACAATGTCTGACTAGCCTGTTCATAAATAAAGTAATAATAAAATATCGCCAAGTTATACCTTTTTGGGTTCAGCATGAGCGTGGCATTGGACCAAGACCATCCAAACTTATGGAACATGTCTGGTCCTCTGCCTGATTCGTTCCCTTAAATAAAACAGGAAGGGGTTGAGCCACCCAAACTTATGGAACATGCTCAGACCCCCTTGTTCAGAACCAAAAGAAACTGAGAAAACCCAAAATAAACAAGGCAACCAAGCCACCCAAACTTATGGGACAGTGCTTGGTTCCTAAAAAGTCAATCACAAACAGCCCTCGCAAGTCAGAGCAACCAGACCACCCAAACTTATGGAACATGTCTGGTTCTCCAAGCAATTCAAAAATAGACATAGCACTGGGTCTCCCCAAACTTATTGAGACTTCCCCAGCCCTTGATAGACCCAGTCAAACAATCAATACTGCCTTCCTCCCATCCTTCCCCCAGATGCAATCCCACAATTTGCTTTCAGTCAGACAACAATATTGAAACTGAGTTTCCACAAACATTTTTTTATTAAGTTTGGTTTGTCCTGAAAGTCAAACTGTAAGTAAGAGTAGGGATTCGGGCAATATACTCAGTCAAACATAGCAAGAAATACAGTTAAGGGGTTATAATAGGGTTTATAGAGGGAAAACAATGGTTACCTCTCAGTTCCCTGCCTCCAGAACTCCTCCCGAGCTCCGGCAGGGCTCCCGCAATCGGTGGGCAGACTCCCCACAGAGTCTTGCTGCCGTCCTACGGGTTGCAATCCTGCCAGCCGCCTTCCTCTCAGAACAGGATTAGACTTAGAGTAAGAAGGGTAGAGATCGGGGTTTCAGACTCTCGAGAAACAAGAGAGGAACAACTCAACTCCCAAAAGAGGATCTTGATATCTGGGTACGCCTGAGGGTCCCACAATGGTGGTCAAAAACGCAACAGCTTGGTCAAACTGAAGTTCGACCGTCTTCCGTTGACTCTCTGACGACCTTCCAATTCGCTGCAACGACCCCTTTTTTCGATGCCCATTCACACCCTTAATTTGCAGCAATGGACCCCTTCGCAAACCCTTACCTCTCCCTCGATTTGTGTCACTACGCAGCCTAGAAGGATTGTGTTCGAATAAAGCACACCCCCCTCTCTGACGAGCAGGAGAAGTAAAATATCGACTAGCAGTCTCTAAGCAACGGACTGCAATGCGGAGGGATAAGTTCTTCAGCAATTGGTCACAGCAACAGAAGCTCCGACGCATACGCAGCAACAGTTAAATGGAAGAATAGTAACCACGATGATCCTATTCCATAGCGGCAATATCTGAAGTGCATGGAGATCTCCACTTTGTACCCCATCACCAAGACTCAGTACCTACTCCACACCACCATTCTCATCCATCTATACTCCAGATCATAGTTGGCGGATGACACACCTGCGAAGTACCTCGACCATTTCAGACACTCACTAGCTCGCACGCCCGTTGACTCTTTGGTTTAACGGTTGTGCAACATATCAGCCAGTCGGCAAACACGGAGCCTCAAGAATGCTCAATAAGACCTTACACAACAGTGAAAACAACAAACTGCTATAAGGAAGAAAACACAGCGAAACACTGCATGGCAGCAACAGCGTGCGCGTGGATGTCAGCTGAGCAAATTACCTCCAAGACCAGGTATGTGCGCTCTCATCACCATCCTCATTCCTTTTCCTTCGTTCCCTCGCATTCCAAGCAATAGGTAGATGTGTAGTCCTCGCAATCCACCTCCTGCTATTCCTTCCACCAAATGGGCGACGAGCCAGTCAATATGTTGCTTCGCTACTCCGTTCCTCCTTCTAGTTCCTGAATCTGAACGTACCCAGTTCTCAGGCTCGTCCAAAGTCACCAGTAATCGGTGGCAAGGGCGAACTCATGAGTGGAACATGCCACAACGCATAGAAGTTAGACGGCCTGCCAATTGTTCAGAACTGCAGCCGAGCAAGGGAACAATCCCTAAAGGGTATAACGTTTGTAATAAGAGTCGTAGTCGTGGGGGAGATGGGAATCACGAGTGGCCCCGACGATTTGCAACGCCACTTTTGCCCACGAAAATGACTACGAATCTTCCGCTACAACACAGGAATACACATTGTCATCCCGAAACTGTTTCCTTCGCGCGCAGCTTCAGCAGGCCCGTTCGTAGAATACGTTCACCCGCATCAGTCGTCTTGCCTCTAGAGCCAGTTCAACGTTGCGGGCGAATCATATTCTCTCTCTCTCTCTCTCTCTCTCTCTCTCTCTCTCTCTCTCTCTCTCTCTCTCTCTCTCTCTCTCTGTGTGTGTATCCTTTCCTCCTGCAACTCATCGCAGTTCCCTCGACGTGTGATGGCACCTGGCCATCAGGTAAGTCTCCAACCCCGCGACTCAATAGAATCGATTACACGTGAACAGGGAGGAAGACCGCGGAGGGGACTTGTCGAAATAATCCACGTTCAGACCATCAGCGGAAAGAAAAACCATCAACCCGATGAGCAGCAACAGCATCGAGGATGGTAACTGATGCTACAGTTCGCATCTCGTCAGATAGGCAAAAGAATGAACCTTCCCCTATACGTGGGAAGATACATTTCCATTTCGAAGCTTTCCCCTGGGCGCAATCTTTAGTATTAACCTAGGTCAAGCCACTCACCTATAGGCAAGACTAACGTCGCCATCACGCTCGCATCACCCAAAACCCCCTGAAAAACATCTTTCCTCGCCCGATTCTGTTAAGAATCGAGCGAGATATCACTTCTCCCCTTCCTTCCATGGCCGACTCCCGCCAACTCTCCGCGCACACCCTTTTCCTTTTAACTTCTATCTCACTAACTTCCCTTCTAATCTGACTTCTCAATCGAGTTCGCCTTGCCAGAAAACCCTGTCTATCATTCGTTTTTACTCGTTTTCACTGAGAAACGAGTGAAATCTTAATCTTAAGCCTCCTCCATATCTGTGTATCTCGATAGCTTCACGCAACTCCTCTTTCTATTAACTCTTCCTAGACTAAGTTTCATACTAATCTAACGCCAGATTCAAGGTCGCCTGCCTCGAAAACCCCGGAATCCAATCTTCACTCAGCTGATTCTGTCAAGAATCGCACGAGTCACGTACTTCCCATTGCGCCACGCTCGCCTCTCTTACCGCTGCCATCTCCGGCTCCGCTCTGCATGCACCCGGCGTCCGGATTCAGCTTTTGCTTTCTTCGCTGTCCCAATCCGCCTTGCTCCTTGGCTTAGCGCTCGTCGCCCCTCCGCCTCGCTCCCGAGGCCTAGCGCGCCCGCGGCCCGACGGAGATCTTGCAATAGTATATCCGCAGTCTCCCCCACAGCCTCCCACCTTACGGGCCACAACGGGTGCGCTCATACTCTAACCCCTCACAGCAGATGACGGGTGGCGGGTCGTGTGCCCGCGGCGACCCCTATCACAGGCCCGCTCGAACCGTCCTTCAAATCCCTTCATAACAGCTCGCGGTTGGTGGGTGGCACATCCTCAAGGACGCCCACGCCACCCAGGTTTCTTCTGCCTCGTGGGCTAACCGCCCATCGGCTCGCATGTACGTTGAACTCGCCGGCCTGCGTTTTTTAAAACAGTTAAGGTGGAGGAAGTTTGTCGGCATCCCGAATACACAGGAACTCGTAGGTTAACCCAAAGATGCGCGTTCTCAAGGTCCTTGGCCGCCGTGACGATCTCTAAATCCAGCGTCGAGTCCAAGTCAAAGAAAGTTAGTTCATGAAAAATATATATATATATATATATATATTGTCACAGAACTATTGACTAAGAGCCACAGTAAAGAAATATTTAGAAAATTTTAATCGTCAGAATATGACAGATCGAGGAAAAAGAACCCACTAGTACTGCTCTGACGCTGCCGACGGCAAAACCAAGGGGGATAGCCCCGCCGGGCCCTCAATCCCTCGATCCCTTCGCGCTATTCTGATACTCATGCGTCATCGCCGCTCGGTCTCGATCCCTGAATCTCCCAAATAAAAGTCGTACATTGTAACCAATAGTGCTAGGTCCAAGGTTGAGCCTAGTACTAGCGGACACCTATAGAAGCGGGTACTGTGCGACCCGCGGATCTATCGGAACGTTCCAAAGTTGCATTTTGTCGATGTCGTCCTCCGTACGTACGCACAAGTCACACGCAAGCACATCAATCTCGAGAAAAAATATTTTTAACCCTAATTTAATCAAAAATAAAAATTTGGTCGGCGATCAACGCCGGTTTCCACATCATCAAAAACAAAGGAAATCACACGCGCCTTAAGTCTGTGCGCCCACACACTCTCTACTCTAGTCAACCATTCAATCACCGTAAACCACAGACACAGCCTCGCCTCGGGCGGTATACCTAGACTTATAAACCAAACTTATTTCCTATCGCTTGCAAAAATCAGAGCGGATACCCTTGTAAGGGTATTCGCACCGACAACGCTTCTTGGACTTCTACCTGTCGCAGCCGCTGAAGACCGCTTCTACCACCTACTCCAAGACCTGATCAAGACCGCAACAGATCTCCTTCAAGACACTTGGACACTTTGTTCCTACATGAGATTTTGCTTCCGACTCCTTCGGGCACACCAGCCCTTGCCTCCTGAACAAACATTCATTTTACTTTATTTTCCTAACTTTGACAACCCTGCAGAACATCATTAGCAGATCCCTGTTTCCCTGACCATTGTTTCCCTTACCCATTAGAACATCAATAGAAATTCCCTGTTCCCCTTACCATTGTTTCCCTTACCCACTAGAACATCAATAGAAATTCCTTGTTACCCTGACCATTGTTTCCCTTACCCACTAGAACATCAATAGAAATCCCCTGTTTTCCTTAACATCGTTTCCCCTACCCAGTAGAACATCAATAGAAATCCCCTGTTCCCTGAACATTGCTTAGCCTCCCCTATAGACCCACTCAGTTACATCCTACCTTCACCTGTGCAGAACACCAGACAGAATACCCTATGACTTGCATCACTCCCCTTCTCCTTCTCCGACCACTGATCGGCCCCGTCCCGTCCTTCACGGCTCCTTTTGTTTCCTTGGCTTTTTGGCAGCCAGGACGTTGCCTTTCAGAGGGAGGGGATAGTGTTACGGACTCTGCCACGGCTCGATCCCTGGTCTATCTTTTTGTTGTTTCTGCTGCGTCCCGTTTTCAGCCTGGCACCCTTTTTTCCAAACCCCTCCTTTGGTACCGTCGGATTTTGAACAATTGGCGCCATGCTGCAATTCGGGCGCCACTTTAAAATACCGCATTTTTCAGTTCTGCCCTCGGGGCTTTTGCGGAAATGCCCCTGGTACCGTACGTGTCACCGGTACTTATACCGGCTTCCCGTACAGTACGGGGACCAGTATCGTGTACCAGTTTTCAGCTGTTGTACTCGTACTCAGTGTGACTTGCTGTTTCGGCATTCGGAATCCAAGACTTCGACTTTGTGCCCTTGCCACTGTGTTTGCGTCCGACCCTCAGTCATGTCGAGTGAGTGAGTGTGTGTGTGTGTGTGCTCTCAATCTCTCCCTCTCTCTCTCCTCTCCCTCGGCTTTCCCTCAACCTTCAACTCGTCACAAGACCTACAACAGACTCAGTTAGAGACTTCTAGAACAGACTTTACTAAGCCTACCGGTAACAGACTCAACTTCTAAACTACAGACCTAGAGATCAAGTCCTACTGTCCGACCTACAGACTAGCCTAGGACGTAGAGCAGGTCTAGGGATCGAATCCTACTCAGGTCACTGGGTCTATGTACAAGTACAGGATAGGTCTAGGGATGGAATCTCACTCAGCACACAGGTTCAATGTACAGGGTTAGGGCACAGGTCTAGGGATCGAATCTCTGTGTCTGCAATGTCGGGTCAACTGGGTGAAACGGTCAATGTCGGGTCAACTGGGTGAAACGGTCAATGTCGGGTCAATTGGGTGAAACCATTTCACACTGTCTCATAACAAGTTATATTGTAAGCGACTCGCCTAACTTGAGTTGAGTTGCGGGCAGCTGATCGAGATCAGTTGAGTCCAGTCCAACTTTTATGAGCTGGGAGCAAACTGACTACAGTTTACCCCAATCGAGTTTTGAATTGAGTTGTCGAGTTACTGTATAGTAATAACTTCCAACCAATGGAGTTTGGATAGGTCTTGAGGTTGTCACACGGCATCTTGGATGACAGTTTTTGCTCATTAGCATTACGAGGTTTTAAAAAATCCAGACTCTGTCTGAGGCGTTTCCAGTTCAGTTGAGGAGCTAACCCAGGCCCGGGGTGGATTTGAGATCGAGATTGAAGTCACTCGAATTGAGTTCCGCACAGTTGCGATGTGTGGCCTTATGGAGGATTGATTGGTTCTTCGCCCCATTCGATCTCCGCGAGAATGAGGTTAAAAGAAAAAAACGGCTCTGCCCGATACTGTAGTAAGGGATTTGATGTGTGCAAGTGAGCTTTTGATGCCCAACAAGCGGGGGGGCAAGACGAAGCGTAGAGGAAAATGTGGATGAGGTGAGGGAGGACGGGAGGTTTGGGGGAGGGAGGGGAGGTAGTGGAGGGCGGGGGGGGGAGGGAAGGGAGGGGCACAGAAACAAAGGGGAAGGGAGCCAGAGAGCAGCATAGGAAGACGAACAGGAGTGGTCGTAAGACAAGGGAGGAGGCGATCTGGAAAGAGATGAAAACAATACCTACGTCATACGAGTTGACAATCAAGACTTTGTCGTACCAGGCCACTAATTCGGTTGGGTAACTGGGGGGCTTCGGCAAGTTATTCGCCTTATCAGACATTTGCCAAGGATAGTTGTTAGACGCCCTGCAATCGGTTGAGATCATGCATCTAACACGCATATGTGTGTGCTCTGTCGGGGGGGGAGAAGGGGGAGGGACGGAGACAGAGAGAGAGAGAGAGTCCTAATTTTGGGCTCTACTAGATAAATAGACGTATGCAAGCAGTCGTTCCTCATTATAAATACAGGTCGTGAAGGAAGGAGAAAGCTCCCAGCATCTGTTGCTTCCATACACTTGATCACCTACTCCTTTGAACACAAGGAGAACCCGTACCTCTCTTCCACAACCCGCCGCTTTCACTTTCCCACACCACCCAGCTCGCCACTCTTACTCACTTCCCGTCTACTTTGGCCCAGTGCATTGATAAAACGGTGGTTTCATATGGCCTTCCCTCCATCCACTGGACCTCCAGCTTCTGGAAGATTTCTGCCTCACCCGGCGAACTCAGGTTTGCATGTGAGATGGCGTATCCTTGTCGTTCGCTGGTTGTGTGGATAAGCCCTGTCTTCACGATCTTCATGGTGTCATAATCAGGTTTCTGTCTGTCTCTTTTTTCTAGGTGACTTCATGAGTTCCTCAAATGCCATTCATTGCGGACAACGGTCAGCACGTTTTAGCAACAGAGGGCTTTAGGGGAAAGCCCAAGGGAGGTGTTCGAGGAGGAAGCTCAAAGTGGCCAACCGGGTTTCGCAGACGCCGGGGCGGGAGGAAGACGGCCGGCACATTTTTTCTATTACAATTCGCAGCCCTAAGGCTGCGGTATACTTTGCAGTCTGTATTCGTTCGTTATACGGGCCATTCGTTTAGGCCCATTTTGCGGAGTCGTGGGAAGGTATTTGCATTTTTTGCACAGCTTTTCAAGGCGGGGGGGGGCTTTGATGTTGGGGAGAGGACCAGTAGTTGGCCACGGCCCTCCAAAAAGGTGAAAAGGCACGCAGGTTCTTGTAAAAATTTGAAGCCCCAACTGATTGCCCAGCCGTAGGCCTGTCCACCTCTCTTCAAATTTTCACAAGGCCCTGTGCGCTTGTACTTGATGCAGCTTGTGGGCAGATTCGACTGGACCGCCTACTCGGTCGGATTGTCTACGGCGGGGTCGTGAATGCAGCCCTAAGGGCATATGTTTCTTTTTGTTTTTTTCCTTTCCTCTGTGTGTGTGTGTGTGTGTGTGTGTGTGTGTGTGTGTGTGTGTGTGTGTGTGTGTGTGTGTGTGCTGTCTCTTATACACATCTAGATGTGTATAAGAGACATGTGTGTGTGTGTGTGTGTGAGAGAGAGAGAGAGAGAGAGAGAGGTCCCCTTTCACAGCAGCCTTTGGGTTGTGAACAGGAACACACGGGAACTTTCACTACACTGCAGCCCTGAATTCCGAGCCTGCCCCAATTACCCAAAACATT